ATGCTTAGGCATATCTATCACATTTATCATCCATCCATCCATCCATCCATCCATCCATCCATCTGATCTAAATCCATCTATTTTGAATCCACATCCATCTATCCATCCATCCATCCATCCATCCATCCATCCATCCATCCATCCATCCATTTTATGTTTAAATCCATCTATCCATCTATCCATCTATCTATCTATCCATCCATCCATTCATTCATCTATCTATGTTTAAAGCATATCCAGCCATTCATCTATGCTTAATTATATCTATCTATCTGTGTTTTATGACATCTATCCATCTATCCATCTATCCATTCATCCATCCATCCATCTATCCATCTATCCATCTATGTTTTAAATACATCTTTATCTATCTATTTTAAGCATATCTATCATTTATCTATCCATGTTTAAGCACCATTCATCTATCTATCTATCATCTATCTCACCATGTATCCATCTCATCTTCTTTATCCATCCATCTAAATATGTTTGCCACATCCATCCATCCATCCATCCATCTATCCATCCATCTATCTATCCATCTATCTATCCATCTATCATCCATATCTATCTACCTATCTATCTATCCATATATCTATCTATCTATCTATCTGTTTAAATCTATCTATGCTGAATTACATCTATCTATCTATCCATCTATCTATCCCTAAATATATCCATTCATCTATCTATCTATCTATCTATCTATGTTTAAAAATATATATAGGTATCTTTTGTATGTTTAATTACATCTATCTATCAGTCTTTTATGATCTCTATCTATCTATGCATCTATCTATCTATCTATCTATTTATCTCTCTCTCTATATATATTATCTATCTATGTTTAAATACATCTAACTATCAACCTATTTTATCTATCTATCTATTTATCTATCCATGTTTAAATATATCGTATCTATCTATCATCTATCTATCTATCTGTTTAATCTATGTTAAATATATCTATCTATCTATCTATCTATTTATATTTAGGTATATCTATGTTTAACCATCTATCTTGTCTTTATCTATCTATTTCTATCTATCTATCTATCTGTCTGTCTGTCTATATATAATATGTCTATTCATCTATCTATTCATCTATTTTTAAGATCTCTATTTATCTATCCAACTATCTATCTATCTATTTATCTGTGTTTAATCTATCCATCTATCTATCTTTTGCATCAATCTATCTATCTATCCATCTATCTATGTTGAACATATCCATCCATCCATCCATCCATCCATCTATCTATCATTTATCCATCCATCCATCCATCCATCCATGCTTCCATCTATCCATCCATCCATCCATCTATCCATCATGTCCATCTGTTCAACGCACATCCATCCATTCATCATCCGTGTCTTTGTTTATCTATCCATCCATCCATCCATCCATCCATCCATCTATCCATCCATCCATCCATCCATCCATCCATCCATCCATCCATCCATCCATCCATCCATCCATGTTTCATGTATCTATTCATCCATCCATCTATGCTTAATCCATCCATCCATCCATCCATCCATCCATCATCCATCATCATCCATCCATCCATGTTTAAACACATCCAGCCATCCATCCATGCCCAATTATATCCATCCATCTGTGTTTTGACATCCATCTATCTATCCATCCATCCATCCATCTATCCATCCATCCATCCATCTATCCATGTTTATTCACATCTAACCATCCATCTATTTTATATATCCATCCATCTATCTATCTATGTTTAATTATATCTATCCATCTATCCATCATCTATCTATCTATCATCTATCTATCTATCCATCCCTATCTATCATCCATCTATCTAATCCCTCTATCTTTCATTCATCATCTATCTTCTTTATATCTAAATCTATCTATCTATCTATCTATCTATCTATCTATCTATCTATCTATCTATCTATCTATGTTTAATATGTCTATTTGTTTAAATCTATCTATCTATCTATCTATCTATCTATCTATCTATCTATCTATCTATCTATCTGTTTAAATATATAAATGTTGAATTACATCTATCTATCTATCTATCTATCTATGTTTAAATATATCTATCTATCTATCTATCTACCTATGTTTAAAAATATATAACTATCTTTGTATGTTTAATTATATCTATCTATCTGTGTTTTATGATATCTATCTATGTATCTATCTATCTATCTATTTATCTCTCTATATATATACATATCTATCTATGTTTAAATACATCTAACTATCTACCTATTTTAAGTATATCAATCTATTTATCTATCCATGTTTAAGTACGTATCTATCTGTCTATCTATGTTAAATATATCTATCTATCTATCTATCTATCTATCTATCTATCTATCTATCTATCTATCTATCTATGTTGAATTATATCTATCTATCTATCTATCTATCTATCTATTTATTTATGTTTATGTATATCTAAGTGTAACTATCTATCTTTCTTATCTATCTATCTATCTGTCTGTCTGTCTGTCTATG